GTATGTTTAAAATTGTTTTCATAATTAAATAGGTTCTTCATTTGAATAGTATCGTCCAATAGCATTGAATGAACTTATTCATCTTCGTCATACTTATCCAGGTAATCAATCAAAACTTGTTTTTGGTAATACAAGAGTTGAATTTGAAAGAAAATATAATAAAATAAATAATTTTCGTCTAATATCAATAACACATATTAAAGAATTGCGAGAACTAAAACGAACAAAGAATTCATTATATATTGGAGCTGGTGTTACATTTACACGTTTAAAATCGCAATTAATCCAATGGAATAATGATGATAGTTTTTGTCAAGCTTTATTAGATCAAATGAAATATTTTGCATCAACACAAATACGAAATGTTGCTTCAGTTGGTGGAAATATAATCACTGCTGCACCTGAGTAAATAATACTTCAAAAAATATCTTAAAAATCTGCTCGTTGTTTTTGTTTTGTTCTAGCTCAGATATCAATCCTATATTAGAAGCTGCAGATGCTATACTTGAACTGCATCGTGCTGATAATGAAAAAGTGCGTCAAATTCATTTATGTGACTTTTTTCTCGGTAATAGTCGTGTATCAATTGCAGACAATGAAATTCTTGTTGCCATTCATATTCCTTTTGAAAATTCATCAAATAAATATTTTCTTCGATCATATAAACAAGCTCGTCGTCGAGATGATTCGAAAGGAATTGTTAGTGCTGCATTTAAAGTTGAACTTGAAAAAATCGATTCTATTGATAATCAATGGAAAATTGTTTCAGCTTGGTTTTCATTTGGTGGAATGGCATCAAAAACAATTTCAGCAATAAATACTCAACAACAATTAATTGGATTACTATGGACAAAACAAACAATTAATCAAACATATGATATGCTTATTAAAGAAATGCCACTTAATGAATTAAGTCCAGGTGGTCAATATCAATATAGGTAACTCTTATCAGTGCGTGATATTATTATTATTTTTTTGAATTTGCTTTAGACAAACATTAATGCAATCATTTCTATTTAAATTTTATTCATATGTATCTAACGAATTACGTCAATCGTTGATTGATTCAATTGATATTTCTTGTCGTCGAGGAGTATCTCATGGTCAACAGACAATACCTGAACGACCTGTAACACAAAAAATCGTTGGTAGTTCATTATCACATCGATCAGCTTATTTACACACAACGGGAGAAGCTATATATATAGATGACATGCTATCTCATGTCAATACACTTTATGCTGCACTTATACTTAGTACACAAGCAAATGCACGAATAAAACATATTGGTAAAATTTTATTTTTTATTTTACTTTTATAAATTTCACTAAAATTAATCTAATAATAGATATTGAACAGGCTTCGAAAGTTCCAGGTTTTGTATCATTTGTTAATTATACTGATGTACCAGGTTCAAATCAATTGAATGGTATGTTATCCGACGAAGAAGTATTTGTATCATCAATTGCACTTTGTGTTGGTGCTGTAATTGGTCTTGTTGTCTGTGAATCTGAACATGCAGCTAAATTAGCTTCAAATCTTGTTAAAGTTGAGTATGATTTATTATTACCAAGAATTTTCTCTATTGACGATGCTATTATTCATCAATCTTATTTTGGTGATGAAATTTCTCTTGGAAAAGGAGATATTGACCAAATTTTTCTTAAAGCTGAACATATTTTAGAAGATACATTATATATTGGTGGTCAAGAA